CCATGCCAGGAGGGTGAGTTAGAAGGAGAGTAAGAGGGGACGTGTGATGTGAAGCCTGCAAAGGTGGCCCTGAGGGTATCTCTGCCTCTTCCAAGTCTGGTTTGCCTGGTCACAGGCTTACATCTCGAGGCTGAGTGTAAGTAATGCCAATATTAAAATCTTTGTAACTGGGCAAGAAACATCATCAGCATTCCTAATACAGACTTGTTTCCTTCTCATGCCCCTGGCCTTGGGGCAGGGTGCGCAGACATAACACCAGGCCATGCAGATCTGGGTTTGGGTGGGTCACCTTGACAGGGTCTCCATCCCTGCCTCCAGCCTGTGGAGCGGAAGCAGCAGCAGCAGTGCTGCTGAAATGCAGACATCCCTGTTCAGTCACCTCTGTCAAAGCACCAGGAAAGCAGCTGCTGGAAAGGGCAGAGCTGAGCTGTGGAGCTTTTTCTCCAGGCTTCTGGGAGGGAAGAGTAAACAGTGGAGCTCTGGAGCCTGTGAAGAGCTGCTGGATCCGCTCGGCCTGTTGGAGCTGGGTGCAGGCTGGGAAAGCCAGCGCTGCATCGCAGTGTTTATATTGGAGCTACTTGAAAGCATTCCTCGAAGGAATTGTCTCGGGCGACTCGGCAGAGTTTCTGCTGCTGGTGGCTGAAGAGCATGGCTGAGAGGCTGCGTTGGGACATTTCTCCACCGCTGACTTTGCTTTCCCTCAGGGCTTTCACTGCTCAGAAGCACAAGGCTGAACCTCTTCCATGCTGGGAAGTCAGGAAGTCTCTGTTCTCCTCTGCTCATTCTTTTCAGCAGCCTGGGGATGGGGTTCAGGGAAGCTGTATCCAGATGTGGCCCCAAGAGATCATTCATGGCTGTGGAAGTGGTCGTTTCAAAGAAGCCTTGTCTTTTCTGTGGTGGTCCCTCTTTGGTCTGATCTCGGGTGGCTGGGGAGGCTGGAGATGGCACATCGTGTCCACGATGAGACTGATGGGTGAAGTAGGGTACAGCACACATTCAGAGGTCTTACTTCTCCATCATTGTCACTTACAAATCTCCTGTTCATGGAGTGCGTGGTGGCTGTGGTCAGGCTGGAGCTTGGCTCCCTCTGCCCCCAGTGACACTGGAGTGGCCCAGCTCCCCGGTCTCCTCTGGCCCTGGATATCTCCTCGAAGCCCTGCAAGTACACTACCGTGGCATGAGGAGCATGCCCAGCTCACGCCAGCCCTGAGTGCAAAGCTTCTGGGTGCAACGCTCTCCCCTTTAAGTAGGAGTGCCCACGCGCACGGCGCGGGCATTGGGGTGTCCTGGGGAGGTACCAACACCCAGTGGGTACTGAGGAACCCCTGGCAATTGCTTGGGTACCTGGACCAGTCCTTGCATCCCAGATGGCAGCCATGGAGGGGTGGTGGCATGGTGGCCTTCCTTTTGTCCTGCCTCTGACTGCATCTTTGCAGCCCACCCTGCTTGGCTGCCCTGTATGGCTGTCGTGCAGAAGGTCCCAGTGCCATCGTCACCTGAGAGCTGCCTGAGTGCCGCTGGGCTCAGCTGACACTGAGCCTATGTCGAGGTTCTCCCTGTCCTCCCGTCCCCAGCAGGGCCAAGGTGTGGGATGCTTTCCCCCTGCCCTGGTGAAGTGACCTGGGGCAGCGGGGAGCTGTCGCACTTCAGGTGCCTGGCACCCGGGCACAGGTAGGCAGCTTGTCCTCAGAGGGAGGCCATGAGCACAGCACCCCCTTTTCTTTTTGGGATCACATCCCGTTGTTCATCTGAGGGCCAAAATCTGGGCTTTCTTTTTTTCACAGATGCAGGGGAGAGGTCATCACCAGCTGGGGTCCCACAGGACCCTGAAATCGTAATGTCATACTGGGGGGAGCCTGTCTCTGGAGGCCAGGGCTGGTGGTGCTGCTCAGCTGCCCAGGCCTGCACACAAGCAGGGACAGATCGGGACGTGCCCGGCGCCACTGCGTGGATGTGAAACGAACAGACCCTGATAGGACTGATCAGGTGGGAGGTGCTGCTGCTTCCTGCTGCGCAGGCAGGGAAGGGCTCCTCGCTGTGGCCCAGAGCTGAGTAAGGAGGTGGCAGGGCTTAGGGTCGAGTTCCTGCTGCTCCGGATCGGCAGGGGATTGGTAAACCCTGGAGCACTGAGCACTGGTGGGCCTGCTGCTTCCAGGCGGTACCGGCGCATGCTCAGCCGGTGTCGGGGGACGAGTCTGGTCGTGCTGTGCCTGACGGAGGTGGGTCTGCCAAGTCTTTGCCAAGCGGGCAGTTTGGCTGCGCGTGGAGCTGGCTGGAGGTGTTGGCTGGAGGTGTTGGCTGGTTGTAGGTCATGGAAAGGAATAACCTTGGGAGGTGGTTCATGGGGTCCATGGGGTCCCCATGGAGGCAAGGGGACACACCTGCAGCTCAGGGGCTGTGGCTCTTCTCCCCAGGGACCCAACAGCTGGATAGTGCTGGTCCAAATGTGATGCTGCTCTGGCCGTAGCACAGAGTTAAAATAGCTCCTGTGCGATCACTTCTGGCCTGCACGCTGCGTCAGGAGCCTGCGCGCGTCTCTGGCCTGCTTGTCCTTGACGTGGCTCCTTGCTGGTCTTGCTTCCCTGCCACAAAACAAGCTGCTGGTACAGCCAAGCGGAGGGATAGGGTGTCAGAAATGCTCATTTAAAAGCCTCGCAAATGTTGCCGCTCTGGTTCTTCCTGTTAGTCCAGGAGCTCTTCGAGGAACAACTGGGTCTTCGACAGCACCTGCACTTGGGATTGGGGCTTGTCCTCATGCAGGAGGGACACATGGGTGTGAGGAGCGGTCCCTACGGCCCCCAGGGAACGATGCCTGTGTGTCCTTGTGAATGCCATCCCCATCCTACTGTTGTCACTGGCTGTTCCCTGCCTGTGTCCTCACTTGGCACCACTGGCAGTCAGCCCCTGCTCCAGGCAGTGTGCCTCTGGGAAGAAGCACACAGGACAAGTCACTGATGGGAGTGGGAGAGTGGCTTGTGCGTGATGGCAGCTTGAGCAGGTGGAGAGAGGCCAATCCCAAATCCCTTGGTGTTTCCCAAGCTCTTGAGACAGGGCTCAGGTCTGTCCTGGACTGCGGCACTGTGAGCAAGAGGTGGTGGCTGAGGGACAGTCCTTCCTCCTGGCAGTGGCATCTCTGTCTTGAAGTAGTGTCAGAAGCATCAGTTAAAATAAACTCCTTCGTACCTTAGCAGAAGATGCTGGGGGAGGTCTCTGAAGCAAGGGGGTCTCCCCAGGATGGGATGCAGGGCATGGTGGCCCTTTCTTAAACCCTCTCTGGTCACCCGGGTAGTTGCACAAGGCAGAGTTGTGTCTGCCGTGGGGAAGAGGCTAGGCCCTGCGAAGGCAGTTGTGCTGTGCAGGGTGGCGGGGGCCTTTGGACCCGGGTGTGAGCCAGCCACTGCACCCACAGCGGGGCAATACCGGCCTCACCCGCGCCTCGCCCAGCCCCACTGTGCCCAGGCGGCATTCACAGCCACGCGGTGCCATCGGGGAGCATGTTTTGCCAAAAATACGGTAAGTGGTTGCTGGGGAAGGGGTACGTCACCCCCTCGGGGTAGAGTGAGTGGGAGCAAATGTGGGATGTTGGGTGTGGGGCAGGTAACCGAGGGGGGAGCAGGTGAAATAGGGCACCCACAGTGATGTGGGGCTGTTTCTGTGGGGCAGACCTGTACTCTTGGGGTGGGGTGTGGGAAGAGCAGGGTGTGTGCAGGTGCACCCTGACAGTGAGGAGAGGCAGAGCACCTCCAGGGAAGATGTGCTGAAGCGGGGGGCTGGGACTCAGGTGGAAGGTCTCTGGAGAGTAGGAGCAGAGCAGAGGAGGGTTGGGATGTCCAGATATCTTGGGGCTTGTCAGGGAAGGCACAAGCAGGGAGTGGCATCACCGAGAGGCATCTCTGAGCGTGCGGTGGAGGTGGGTCTGCTAGCGCAGGGGCCATGGAGGGCAAGTCAACGGTGTGGGATGGAGACAAGATTCAAATAGAGCGAAATGGCTGTGAAGGTGTTACGAGAACATCTCCTGTCACAGATGGGGCACACACAGCACACCCTTGGGTCTTACCCAGCAACAGCTGGTAGCAGAGGGACGGGACAGAATGGGGCCAGGGTCAAGGAGACCTTCCTGGGATGATGGTGCCTTTGAAGACCTGGAAGCTGAAGCTAGTTTAACAGCCTTTCCATTTGCTTTTCCTCAGAGCTCATAAATACAGACTGGCTATAGCTGCAGCCTGACAGCCGGTTGTTACTACACTGCAGAATACGCCTTTGGGACTGGGATGTTGCAGGGGGCATGTTGGGTTATGGTGGATCCTGAGTACCACCTGGGTCAGAGGAGGATTTCACAGCTGTGAGAGCTGAGCAGAGCCAGTAGGTTTGGCCAAGGGAACCAGATCTGAGGGCATCTGGACCAGACTGGGAGGATGCTCTATGCAGAGGTTGGTGGGTTGTGTGGGAGTATAACACCCATCCTATCAGCCGCCTCTGTACACCTCGCATAGACCTCACAGCTTTTTCTGCAAAATAAGCATGCATTTGGAAACTTAGAGCAAAAAAAGTAACATGGCCTGGAAAGACTGTCATCATGGTTTGACATTCCGAAGGCAGACACTTGGGATTGTTTTCCAGCTCACTGCTTGAGTAGTCCAGAATATTTTACTGGTCTTCAGCTGGTTGTTCTGGGTGCTGTGCTAGCTAATGAGCTTTGGGAAGCGTAGGTTGCTTCCTATCTTGGTGCTGCTGATACCAGACGGGTTACCGTATGGTGAACTTGTTTTATCTTGTTGGTCTGCTGTTCGTGACTCAGAAATATGTGTGTAACAGTGATGTGTTTCTGTTTCAGGAAGAGAGGGTCTCCAGGAAAATCAATGATGGGCTGATATAACTGGTGGGGAATCCCCAGGCACTTTGAGACTAACATTCTGGTATTTGGGTAGGCGTAGAGTTAATATAATTCAGTTAATATAATTCTTAAATAATTCTGTGTATTTGTACTTTTCTTCCTTTAGGGAAACACCTACCCACTGGCAGCCTCTGCCAGGCACGAAAGCAGCCATGTTGGTCAAAGTGAACAGTTTGAGGCAGGTACAGAGCTCTTCAAGCAGTTCGCTTCAGCTGCAGAGTGCTCCAGAGGCCAACAGCCAAAAATCTCTTCCAAAACCAGCCATATATGCTCAGCCTCAGTCCACATCCCAGAGCCCTGGAGCCACAAAGCAAATGGCTACAGGAGAAATGAAGCAGTCTATGCAGGTCAAAAAGACAGAGAATGGTGGGTTTTGCCTAGTGTTGATGAATGGTCCAACTTCTCAAACGCCTCCAAGGAGCCAGACGGGAACCCCCCAGCCTGCATCCCCCAAGTATGCTTCCCCTGCACCTATATACGATGAGCCATCTTTAGAGTCTCCAATTTATGATGAGCCACCAGTAGATATGGACACTGAAAGCATTGGTATGTGTGGGATGTCTCCACAAAGGTCGCCAAGCAATAGCTTAAAAAAGCGGCTGCAACCAACCAAATTATTACAGCATCCAGGTATGCAACAGCAGCAAGCTGCAAAGAAGCATGTAAGAAATCCTTCTTCCACTGACTACAGCCCAGCTGGCAGAGAATATATAAAACACATGGTCAATGTTGACCAGTCTTCCAAACTCCCCCACTCTCCTGCCGCAACAGCCGATGCCTCTGCTAAACTGCCTGGTCAGCTCGCTTCAAAGGACAGCTTCAAGCAGTCTTGGAGGATGTTGGAAGCCAACGTCCTCAAGAACATGGAAGCTCACCACAGTCGGCAGAACAGCCTGCAAACTCAAGAGTACCCAACTGGTATAAGCCATCAGGATTCTGGCTATTCAACTGGCCCTTCTCCAAGCTTGAGGAAAAGGAAAGGAAGGAGGCAAGGGGCAGGTCAAGGAAGACCGGGCTCTGTGGGCAGTGGCAGCGAGCTCACGGCTTTGAACGATAAGCTGATTGCCGAGATGCGTGCTGTGGTGGGCAGGTCAGCAGGTTGCAGGGGAAGCAAAGCCAGCCTCGACGCTGAAAGTCTGGAGAGTGGAATCCCAACAGAGAGCAGCAGAGTCAGATTTCAGTCTGACCACTTGAAAAAATGCATCAGCCGGAGCTCAAGGGATGATGTCTCGTCTAGCAATAGGTCTCTGTATAGACAGGGCCTGGAGAGCAGGGGCAGCTTTCCCAACGATGTGGCTGCACCACAGGACACAGTGAGGCAGAAGAGGACTTTTGAGAAAATAGATTCTTTAGAAAAGAACGTAACCAGCCAGACAAGTTTGGCTTCATCAGACGCTACATGCCGCTCCTCCCAGGTACCTCCCCGTCTACACCGCGTTAAATCACATGCCTTTGCTACTGTCGTGGTGCAGAGCCGAGTACCTGGTCTGCTCCTGGGTGGGTCTCGTGGATGTGCTGCAGGCAGAACACAGCTGTGCCTGCAGAACAGCAAACAGGTCACAGACCTTCACGGCTCTGCAGGTGGAGACCCCACTTGAGGCCAGCGGGATGAGAGCAGGGGGAATTGCGGGAGGGCTCGTGCCCAGCCAGCCCTCGGTGTGCTGGTACCTATGCTGTGTTACTGGAGTAAACCTCCTGCCTGGTCACTTTGCTGGCACTCTTTGGTAGTCCTTGCTCTCACGTCCTTTCTGCAGTGGGGTGGTCAGAGTCGGTGGGGCACAGGATGCAGACGTTGGGATTTGCATGGCCACGTGGCTGTGTTTTTCTTTTTTTCTCTCTGTTCTTTTTCTAATAGTTCTTCATATTCTGTTCTCCCTTCCCGTCATCCCTGAGCGTTGATGTAAATATTCAGAAAACTGGTGATAGTGACTCTAGCATCTCCTTGTTGGAAATAGCTGTTTTAAAGCCCATTAGTGTGCCTGTACAAGTGAAGTAGTTTATAACACAGCGTTTCTGCAAAATTCTGCCATCTTTTCTCCTATTTGGATTTGAAGGAACCTCCTGCTTCATAGTTTTAGTTCAGATTTAGGTTCTGCGCAGGTAATTTTATATCCTGTGAGGGTTTTGTCCTTTTTCTCTTGGCTCACTCTTCCAATTATTTCACTCCTGCGAGGCACAGCCGATATCAGTCCTCCCGCATAAAGAGCAATGACTTATTTTAACCCTTTGTTCTGTCTTGTCTCCTGTTTACTAGTCCATGACCTTTAATGAAGACACTTGGCAAAGCTTCTTGAGCGTTTCAGATTGCTCCAGTAGACCTGTGAGGTGTAACTTTTCTCTAAAAGCCAGGCTGGCGGCTCCCAACTGTATCAGATTTATGTGTGTGCTTTCTCCTCTTTATTGTAATTCCTGGTAGACAGTGCCTTGCTTTCACCTGGAACTCTCTTAAAAATTGTGTCATGTTCCCACGTTTTCCGTTTTTCAGGCACGGGGACAGTTTGAGTTTACATGACTCACACGTTACAGTTAATAGTTCAGCAGTTTCATTTCACAGCCTCTTCAGACCTGTCGGAAGACTACTGTCTGGTCTGCAGGATGTGTTACACCTCATTGTATTGACAGGGGGAGCTGAGACTTGATGTCTTGATTACACACAAGAGATGGTGGGTTGGGGATAGGCTGTGAATTGCCTTGAAAGTGGAGAAAAATAATTCATTTGTGGTAGGATGGAGGAGAATAAAGTGGAAGACATAAGGAGGTGGATGTTGTGGTAAAGGCAATGAGTCAATAAATAAATACTCTATCTGCAGAAGTGCTCCAAGATAGAAGAGTCCAAGTAAGGAGAGGAGGAAGTGGCAGAGAAGACAGCAGCAAAATTGCTGCCTCGCCTGAAAATAGCTGTGTGTGGCATGAGCCACCAGCGATGTCCTGTGCTGAGCCTGCGTAATGGAGAGGAGAACTGGGAGATGAGGGAATTCGTTATCTGAGGAGGGTGGGCAGAAGTTCTCGGACAGGCTGAGTAGAGGCGGATGTGTACTGTCAGCACAAAGATAACAGCTGGGTAGTTGTGTGAACGAGATTTGAGAGAGAAACTCTAGAGAGAGGAGAGAACCAAGAGCCTGTTGAACCTCTAGAGAGTATGAGGAGGTGGATCCTCGGAAGTAACACGCTGAAGGAACAATTAGGGTGGTAGGAGGAAAACCAACCGTGGGCATGGAAGGTGGATTGTAGGAGACTGAGGATGGAGATGGCAGAGAAGAGCTGCAGACAGGGATTTCTAGGCAGCATGTTGAATGAATTCAGAGAGGGTGCAGAGGCAGAGGGGTAACTCAAGGGATAAAAAACTGAAACAAAGTAGAAAAGCAGGAGAAATTATTGTGCCCCAGGCTGGCAGTAAGAGATGGAGTGTGTTGTGTGCTGATCACGTCATCCACATGTAGGTACATGTTGAGTGTAAGATAAGGAAGGATTGGACTTCACAAGCCTCTGTTGTGAGTTCAGCAGTTCCTCCTTACTAAGAAGAAAACACTGACTTGCTCTAAACATTTCAGAACTAGCATGCATTTTGGGGATGACTGTAGGCTAGGACTGGAATAGAGAGAGGCACGCAAAGGTGATCTGAAAAGAAGGAAAATGCGTGTTTTATTTAACATTTTCCACTGCAAAACCAGAATTCACAGGATTTCTGTTTCTTTGTCTTCCTTTAAAAGACAAAATCCTCAAGATTATAATTTGGCTTTTTCCTAGTTGCTGGAGATCTCCTTGGAGAACACAGAGGAAAGTGTAGGCTCTTTAGCTCTTAGTTGCTGTATGTGGGAATTTCAAGTCTATCAAAAAAGTCAGTTCTCTAAAACAACTTATTGGGTGTTTAAGTTCAGTATGTGTCCTAAGCTGCCACATCCATCCAAACCAGATAATTCTGGGTGGGCAAAATAAGTGTCCTATTCTCAGAAACAGTTATTACACATCATTTTCATGGTATCAGTACTACCGAGGTTCTAATTATGTAGTTTTTTGTAGCAAACGCTGGTGAAGAAGGACTGAAAAGGGCTCCATGTAAAAATGGCATACGGAGTCTGGGAGGAAGGAAGGTCTTTGTCTCTGCTGCTTATCTCTGTAAACCTGGGATCAGCGGACTTGTCCCTAGAGCAAATGAGTTTGGTCACTGCAGACTGTGGGTGGGGAGCAGCTGTCCCTGATTCTCTGAGAAGAAGAAACAACCCTGCACTTGTGAACAATTCTGATTTAATTTGGGAAGGTTATGCCTGCCTTGGATAAGAGAACGTGGGAGGGAGCCTGTCGTAGAGGTGTCCCCGCGTGCCGTGCAGAGGCACTCGCAGGAGCACTGGCTCGGTAGCAGCAGCCTGCATCTTCCCCACAGGCGCTGAGGACCAGGGCCTGCTTGGCAGGAGGTGTGGTGGGAGCCAGCTGATTGATGCAGATATCCATCTCCAGGTCACCAACTCAGACATGATTTATCCCACCTGGGTGACAACTTTGCCATCAAAACAGCTGTGCCCGTGCTCCACTGTGCCTCTCGTCACTTCTCCGGTCCTAGTCCCATGTGTGTGTCTGGCCAGTGGTTCCATTAGGAAGGTCGTGGTGGAATTGAGACACATATTTTGAATGCCTCGGTGCGGAGGCTGGCCAGGCACGGGCTGCCCAAAGCTCAGCAGCCTCTAACGGTCACCAGCCATGTTGATTTGATTTTGGTTGTTGGGGGAATTTTTTTTTGCTAGAAGTGGGAAAATGAGTAAAGGCAGCAACCAGTTATGGGATTGTAAGGGCTACAAAGGGTCAAGGTGAGAAGGAAACAGTGCTTAGTGCTGGGGCTGTCTAGTCTCTTCCACCTCCTGGCATTGCTGCCCTCACCTCCTGGATGCCAGTGGCTCCGCAGGACTGAGTGGTGAAAAGCAGGGGGAACCTTGGCTCCTTGGTGTGTGCTTGGTGCCACAGAGCTGTACAGCATGCTGCGCTGGAGTCAGCCCAGCTCCTGCTTGGCTGCCCCTGGGAGCTCTGGGACGACTTGGACAATCCATGTCCCAGCACTTCCTTCGGGGACAGCATCAGTGTGCAGCTGTGCCAGCCAGGCTATTGCAGAAGCACAATTTCAGCGACCGATTCTGCACTGAATCATGTTTTGTACAGATTCACCGCTTTGCAGTTGCTGCACTGTTGATAATTTTGCCAGCAGGGCAAGGAATCAACTGAGCTGCTTTTAACATGTCTGTTGTCCATTACAGCCGGGGACAATAGAGTTGGACCCCAAGCAGGAGAGCAGCGGCCAGCCTGAGGGCTGTGTAGGATATAATTTCCCTTACAATACTCTACGGAAGCCCATATCTCAGAGCAGCATGGCAGACTGGGCTTCTAAAAACCTGAACATGCACACACAGGGCATCTTCCGTCGAAGAATCTCCATCTCCAACATGCTCTCCTGGAATGGTGGCTCTATCAAGAAGCCAATGCTCATCACAAGCAACCGCACCATTAAAAAAGAGGCATGCGAGATGTTCAAACTGGTGCAGAGCTACATGGGAGATCGTCACACTCGCATGGACCGGAATCACGTGGCGTTGGTCACAGTCACCAAGTGCTGGAGCATGCAAGGTTTACGGGATGAGCTCTACATACAGCTGATGCGGCAGACAACAGACAATACCTGCTACCGAAGTCTGGCGTGGGGCTGGGAACTGATGGCCATCAGTCTGGCCTTTTTCTCCCCATCACCCAAGTTTCAGTCTTACCTGGAAGGTTACATTTATCGACACCTTGACAGTGATGAAAACAGTAAGTGCCCTGCACACACCCCCTCTGTCCCCAGCAGCGTTCTGGTGGAGTGTGCCACTTTTTCAGGCTTGTCTGGTTTTAAAAACAGGTAGGCCCCAGCCAGTCCTCTGGTTTCCGTCACTGAGAGCACCATGTGTTGGGCGAGTTCATCCTTCCTTGGCAGGATGAAACTGCCACCAGCTCTTCCCCCTGCAATTCTCACTTGTGTCTGTCAAAGAAATGCCAGCCCTAGACTGTGCTCATCTCAGCAGTCAGCATGGCAAGATCAGCACTGGAAAGAGCTGATTTGGACCCGCCAAGGGCAGAGTTTCTTTGGATTCTTTGAAGGCACGTTTTACTTCCAAGTTCCTTAAAGCAGGGGGAAAAAAAATATAGATGCATGTTAATACAGAATGTTCTAAGGGAGCCATTGCAAACATTACGAACAGGCCTCAGCTTGGCAAATAGTCAGGGATCGTGAAGGATGCTGGCTTTTGTTGGGAACAGATGTGATTTATCTGTCTTTCAGAAGCCTTAGGGACCAGCCCAGCGTCTATTCAGTTATTACCCCAATTTTAAAATTGCTACAGCATCCTATGCAAAAAGAAAAAAAAAGCCAATAGAGTGTTTATTGGCTGATTTGTCACTATTTCAGCAGTGCTCGCTGTGTCTTAGAATCGTAGAATCTTTTAGGTTGGAAAAGACTTTTAAGATCACATCCAACCATTGAAGAGCCGTCTTGTCCAGTCTCAGGCGAGAAACCAGAGCACCTATTTCCACTCGGAGCTTCAAAGTCAGGTTAAGCCCCCCCAGATCTCCAGGGCAGGTTCTGCCCCAGCACCTCTGTCCCCACCCCGAGGTGGGTCCTGGGGGCAGCAGTGGTGCAGTGCAACCTTTGCCTCTGGCTTCACGCTCGTAGCCTTAACATGGGGTTCTTTCACTGAACTGCTAGACATGCAGCACTGGTTGGGGTTTTCATGAGAATCCCAAACCCTTGTCACTTCTCCCCAGAACCATTCCCTCCAGCTGTGCTTAGCCAGGGTCCAGACAGCAAGGAGGAGTAACCTGAACTATTCCAGTAGGTTGTGCCTTCTGCTGGTATTTAGGGAGGAAATTTATTTAGGTATAACCTTGCTGCGTGGAGCCCCCTCTCAACTGTTTGGCCATATGGAGAAGTTGTGTGATGTTCTGAGCCCCTCACTCAGGTGCATTTGGAGCTGGCTATGGTATAGGACCTTTCCCTGGGCAGACCTCCTCATGCTGCAGTTAGGCTGGCTACCATGTCTAAGGGCAGTTCTGGGCTTTGATATTTTATCATTGCACATTATTAATCCAGAGCCTCTTTTGAATTTTCAGTTGCCAAGCGCATCAAGGAGCTTGTGGATCTGAAAAACAAGAAGAACTCTAAATCCAGGAAAAAGAGGAAACAGAACACCGAGAATGAAGGTAAAGGGAGGCACAACATGCAGGGAGTTGAGGGGGAGGACTGTGCTGACCTCAGGCAGGCAGGGATGCTGAGCTGCACTGAAAATCAGACCATTTCTTGATGTGTGTAGACTTGGACTCAGGAGACTTTACAGTGTGAGAGGTTTGACCAGAGCGTGGGTGAGGAGCATGGATGGCAGCTGGGCAGCACGTGGATGGGTAGCATTGTGGCGGCAGGGTGGGGCCCTTTCACTCATGGTTGTGTGAGAGAAGGTATTTTAATTTGGATGCAGGGCTGGGCTGTAGTTTAACTGGTCAGTGTATGCCGTGGAGTTTCCTATGCCAAATGCTAAAAAGCTGTATAAGTCAGCATGTTGAAAAGAACCTGTCTCAGTTGTAGTAATGGATGTTGTAAACCACCACCCGACCTGAACACCTTCAGGGAGGACACTGATATCTGGCAAAGTGCTGCCTTTTTCCCTCCAGTGTTGGCTTCCCCTTGTCCACACTTCCTGGACCCTGCAGTCCAGGGCTTACAATAGCATCTCTGCCAAACGAACAAGAGCTCACATATCCCTCCAGCCTCAGGTTTTAACTGCTGGCTGCAGGATAATACTTTATCTGGCTAAAGCCTTGCTAGGCAAAGTCCGTTCAGGTTTTTTTTTTTTATATTGCTTTCAGGAAACTTGAGACAGCACTGTGAATTCATATCAGGCAGCACTTTATATCATGTGGCTTTGGTGGTTTTAATCCTGGGAGGCCTGGAGTCCAGCTTCCTGCATTGCTGAGCCCCACCTGACACCAGCAAGCACGCATGTGAAACACCAACACCACAGCTGCACTCTCTGTGGTCCTTCCCTGTGTCACTGCTTCCCTGAGAAGCAGTGGGAAGGGGCTGAGGAGGCTCCTTGGTCGCAGCCCCTGCAGTAAGAGCATTTATCACTTCTCTGTCTACAGTGAGATTAGGAGCAGAGACCAGGAATTACGCAAAGCATTTATATTTCTGGTAGGGATATGTCTTGTTCCTGTTCAGGCCCAGGAGATTTCAGCCCATTCTGAAAGTCATTTTGCTTAGAGGGCCTTTGCTATCTTTATGGGACAACTCCCTGGAGATTGCTCTGCACAGGACATGCTCTGTGGGTTGAGCAGGCTCTTCTGTGCAGTTGCTTGTCTGTGTTGTGTGTGCTGGAGTTGTGCTTAGGAAGATAGAGGTGGGTTTTACCTAAAAATAAATTTTAGATAAAAAATACATAGTTATATATATATAACTTACGTGTGTGTATATAGAAAATATTATGAAAAAGGCATGCCAGGATAGCTTTATAAAGTTTCCAGAATGAAGCACTTGAAATTCAGAAGTGCCTGTGTGGCCTCAGCTGGGGCTCTGGTGACAGGTGACACGCTGTTCACTTCGCTGGACCCTGTGCCTGCTGTCACAGAAGACCTGCTCTGGCAGTGAACTGGAGCTTTACAATAAATGAGCTGGTCTGCAGGCTCCTGCCAGCTCCTGCAAAGACGGGAGGGGAGTAGCAAAGGAGGCAGGTTACGGAACCAGCCTCTGCGCAAGCGACCAGGAACACTGAGGGTTTTTTCTGGGCTCTGACCTCAGAGCTGCACGTGAAGGATCTGCTGCGGACTGGCAAGGTCAGACTTTCCCTCAGGATGCTTATGTCTGCTCCACTAGCCCCACTTGCCAGGAGTGGGGCAGGGGGAGGGCACAGCTCCCTGAAGTTACAAGACTGTTGGGAGAAGTTCATCAGTAGCTCCAAAATATTTAGATCTGCTCATGGATGCTGTAGCAGCCATTTAGCAGAAAAATCCATAAGAAAATTAAATGTACTGTCTTCAAACAGAACTGAATAGTAGGTATGTAGGCATGTCTTTCAGTGAAAAATGGAGTTAAAGCAGCCATCTCCCCTGCCACACGCACCTCCTTCAGTGCAGAGGCTTGGCAGTAAACAATTGGGTGAGTAAACATTTAGCATCTGACATGTACCCAAAGAATTAAGTTTTAAGTTTCCCATACTTACCTCTACAGTCTTCATCTTCTAGTGTAATTCTCTGTGAGTAAATGAAATGGGAAGGTGGTGTGAGATCTTTTCATAGATCAACAACCCATTGAAAAGCAGAAGAGTTACGGGTAAAAATAAATGTTGTGTTTTCAGAAGGAGGATTGTTGTCTGATCCTGCAGGAATATAAGCTGGGCTTTAGGTCTGTACAAGGAAGCAAATAATGATCTGGCCACTCACTGTTGGGACAAAATTATTCCGGGTTGTAAAACCTAAAGTTGCAGAGGGATCTCGCGAGGGTGAGTAACTGAGCATCAAGCAGCAGACAAAATTGTGTCAGCAACAGCAGAGTATTGTATATGGGGGAGTTGTTCCTAACTGCACGTGCAGCAGCAGCTCCTACGTAGCTGTTTCAAGGAGGGAAAGACATTTTGCAGCCCGTGTATGAATTTCCAGAAATGTGTACACAGTGCTGGGAAGCAGTCAGAAACCAAAGAGAGGACCGGGAACTTGTGAAAAAGGGACAGCAAGCAAACCAGCCCTTGGCTGTGGTCACGCTGTGCCCACTCTGCATGTCCTGCCCATGGTCCCTTTGGGGTTGGTGAGTGCAGCAGGGGAGCTGGACCTGGAGGAGGGAAGAGGGCAGAAGGTCAATGGGCTGAAGGAAGCTGCAGGTCACCTGGGGGAAGCAAGAGCAAGAAAATTTCTTGTGGTTTGTCAGAAGAATTGGAAACCACCTTTTTTGTTGTTGGGCAGCAGGCTTAAAGAATACTCTGTTCTGAAGCACAAAATTAGATCGTTACGAGTGAGCAAAGCAGGGTGTTGTGCAGGTGAGGAGCACGAACAGGGTTAGGAAGAAATGGGACAACTCCAGAGAAGGGATGTCTGTCAGTTGGTGGTTAGTGATCGCAGTACAACACTGCCTCGGGGCATCTCACACCTGCCATTGGTGGGAGGTTTGCACAGGGGAGTACTTATTTTTCAGACATCCCATATCTGTTCCTTGTCCTCTGATGGCAAACGCAGGCTCCTGGCTCCTACGGCCCTTTGGGCTGACAGAGCCCAGCATTTCCCACGTAGGGAATGGTGATGGAGCAGCATTGCTGGGACACAGAAGGCTGTGCTTGTGTGAGGAAGAGGTGCTGAAACACTGCCCTAAAACGGGGGCGCCTGGGCAGACCTAAGCCACGAGAGCGGCACTGGCCCAAAGCCCAGCTGAGCTGTTCAGGAGGCACCTACCCTTGTGCTTAAGAGCATGGCAGGACGGGTCTGAGCGCCTGCCCTGGCTGTGCCAGACTGAGGTCCGTGAGAGGCTGCGGTAGATCAGAGAAATACCAACACCACAGCTTCTGCTGTGCTAAAGCATATGTCCCACGGCTGGGATTTGAATCCGTATTCTACTGCATTTCTTAAGGCATTTTTTGGCAGGAGCGTGTTAAAATCTGTTCCAGAAGGTATGTTCCGCCGTGTGTCCTGCCTGGATTTTAACTTGTTAATAAAAGGAGATGTTCTTTAGAAGCTCCTTGCATGGATTTGTAGGCCAGCACATGGGAAAATATTTTCCTTTGTGAACTATTTTCACTCTGTGGGTTGTTAGTAGTCTTCTGTTCCCAAGCTCCTGGGGCTACTGTGGTACCACAGGAAATAACAGATCAGCTTGGATTTCACAGATTCCTGATGTGCTGAGGGAAGTGGAATTGTCTTCAGTATTAGCCGTTTCCAGCCCGTGCAGGCAAAGCTGCCCAGCCCTGTGCTGAGGGGTGTGAGCTGGGGAGCCTGGGGGGTAGTACCTGACCTGCTTGTTAGGTGTGACCTGGATGCCAGGAGCTGCTCTCCAGCTGAGCATTTTGAAAGCAGCCAGATGATCGAGTCAGGCCACAGGTTTGGAAGAGCAGAGGTTAAGGCTCAGTTCTGCTCCTCTCCCTGGCATTTCTCTCTGCATCTCACCACTTGCCTCCCAGCCTCTCCTCATCTCCTTCACCCATCCCGCTCTGCAGGTGCCCTGGGAGCCGGAGCGCATTCCTCGGGGCAGATGACTTGTGCTGTGTAGCAGGGAGGCTGCACGCTGTGTGTTTATGGTGTGAGCCCCTGTGGGAGCCATTCATTTTGTGCCTTCCCCAGCAGATCAATGGTCACCCCGTTGCTCAGGGCTCCTGCTACTTTTTTGGCAGTTCAGGTCCAGCCCCTTGAGCATGGGGCAAGTTTAGTTTTCAGTTTATTTGCTTGAAATTTGGTCAACTTCATGCATGGCCCTGACAGTCCCCTCTGGGTCAGAGGCTGCAGCTTGGTGGTCGTTGGGAGCTGGAGGCCTCACTGCAGAAAGTGCAGGGAACTTTATGCTTTTCCCAGGGTTGGGGAGCTTTCTGGGAAAGTACAAAACAGGCCTCAAGCAAACGTGTCTGGCTGCTGCCCATGCGTCAGCCATGCAGGCTCTTCCAGGCAAGCAGTTCCTTTGCAACCTTGTTAAACTCTTAGGGTGATTATGGGTTTCATGGTCTAATTACAGTGTGAAAAAACATTTCCTATTATTAGTTTTGAATGTGCTGCCACCCGCATAATTGTTGTGATGCAGAGACACAGTCGAGTTTTTTTCTCACTCCCTCCTTCTTGAAGTGGATGATACTTTGCATCAGGGTGTGTGCACATTGTAATAACAGAAGCCACAGCCTGAAATAGTGAAGCGTCACAGGGCAGCTCATGGGGTTTTTCTTTAATCCTCAGACGTTTCCAGTGTAAATCATGCCTGGGATTAGCAGGATTTTTGCATACAGGGAATATTTTGCTTTAGATGTTCCCAAGAGAGAGAAATTCTTAAAATGACTTTCCTTCCCTTTGCCTGCGGGGAGGGGGATGCTGTTGTACCTCCTCCGACATTGCTCTGGTGTTGTGGAGGGGCTCCAGGAGGGGCTCCTGTGACAGTCAGGCAGGTCGATCGAGGCAGGGGGTGCTTGCTTCGTCATGAGGAGACAGGACTGTGTCTGCTGGCTGAGAGGAGAAGGGGGAAAGCACATCTCTCTCCTTTGTGAATTGTTCTGCTTGGGAAGATCTTATCCTCCCTCTGCATCGAGAGGATTTGAGGAACTTCAGGCTCCTGACCAGCTTACCTAAGCTGTAGGCTGTGTGAAAGGCTGATCTGAAATATGCGGTATCTGACCAGAATGTACATTTTAAAAGCCACAAGTATTGTGAACTTTGCTGCAAGCTTTGAGCCTGGCAGGGAATCAAGGGCAGCTCTATTCACTGCTTTCAGCAAGCAATTTGGGTTTGACTCGGAAAAGAGCAGAAGGCCAATGGTTTTGGAAAAACTCTCTCAGCAATCAGTGCTCTGTCAGTGCAAACATTTCTCTTGGTGTCATGAGGGGATTAGCTCTGTGAATACTGGCAGTGCTTGCCCTCAGAGTTCGCTGAACCAGGCGCAGCTAGAGCAGCCGTTCCTGCGGTGGGCTGCAGCTTTCGCAGCAAAGCTCCCAGGCTCCAGTGTGTCCAGTTTTCCTCGTATCGCAGAGCACACCCTGGCCTCGCAGTGCAAGGTTGGGTTGGAGGACGCTGCAGGCAGGAGAGGGAGGAATCCTCTGCAGGGCTTTGGGAAGATGAGAGAGACCCTGCCACCTTCCCACGCCTCTCCTTGCGTCCTGACCTCGCTCGTGTGCTGGTGCTGGCTGTCCGGCCCCACACGCCTTTCTCTTGCATGCCCAGGGCTGCAGTTCCAATTACAAACAATTTGTTTAAAACACTTGGAAACTTCTCCAAGCAGGAGGCTGGCTCTGTGAGCCCTCTGAGATACAGCAGTATGTAAATACCCAGCCCTGTGTCTGTGA